CCGCGCCTTCCTCGTGCGGTGCCAGCTCCGGCCTCCCCCTCCTTCCCCGACACACATGCTCGGCCTCCCCCGGCTGCGGAGACCAACCGGAGCCGCGCCTCCCTGCCGCCCCTCCCGCCGAGGCGCCCCGGGGCCCAGGGGCCTGCGCCCACTTTGGAGCTGGGCAGACCGAGAGCCCGAGACGTCCTGTAAGTACCGGCCAAGGCTGGAGAGCGCGATGCTCCTGCGCTTCGCCTGGCCTTGGAGAGCTACAAGCCCGCCCCGAGCGCCTGGGCTCTGGCGTGGAGGAAACCCGGACCCCTTGCACCGGGGACCTCACCCAAGGACTTCTCAGACCTGAAGTCTCTCCCGCCCTAATCGAAGGCAAACTCTCGTCCCCACCGATTTTTGACCCCCTTGGGCGAGTGTTCATGGCTTTCATTAGAACCTCAATTGCCCCTTACAAGGAAAACCGTGGCGACTTGGCACCTTCACCCCAAGCTCCTTGGAAGGACGGAACTCCAGCTCCCACCCCCAGCCCCTCACCCCCAGCCCCAACTGCCCCTGGACAGGTGCAGGAAGAAGATGGAGGTCTCTGTTTTTCAGGACGCCATTTCTGTCCTTCCTAGTTGAGGGAGGAAGGGGCAGAGTGTCCTAGAGGACTTTTGGAAGGAATTTTGAAATAATCCTCTAGAATTCAAAAACAAAAAATTCTGAGAACCAGCAGGTGGCATGGTGGTTAAAGCCCAGGACACTCTCACATGGCCGACTACGGTTTGAGTCCTGGACCTGGTGACTTGTTCTCTCACTTTCCCTCTCTCTCTCTCTGTCTCTGTCTCTCGCTGGTCAAATTAAAATAAATGAATAAATAAATAAAATTTTTAAAAATTCCTTGGGAATATTCCATTTTTGCTGGAAAAAGCTTAGATAGGGGGATAAGATTTGGTTTGTTTGTTTGTTTGTTTTTTCCCTAGACTGCTGTCCTCTGAGAAACCTACCGGTGACCCACGGTGTCCCAGCCCCAGGTGGATGGGCCTGTGCGGCCTGTGCCATCGTGCTCCCAGAGGGGCCAGGACAGGCCCCTGCACTAGACCCTGGAGGCCGAGCCTAGGGCCTGCAGTGTCACCTCTGCCCACTGTGTCAGCGACTCTGACATCATGACCACTTTTCTACCAGGACTGAGGACTGAGGAGCCACACGGGTGCATGAGGGGACAGCCGACTTCTCTCACAGGTGCCACCCCACACTGCTCCGTCCCTCTTGAGACTCTGGGCACCCTGAGAGGACAGGGTTCCCCTGGCTCCGTTCAGGGAGCGATGGCACACACGGAACACATCATCACCGCAGTGTTTGATCGAATCTTCCCTGCTGGTATTGCAGAATTCCAGAACCAGAGCTCAGAGTCGGAAGGAACCACCTCTAATGGAGTCCCCTGTCACCTCCCCAGAGTGGCCCTTAAATGCTTGCTAGTCCTGTGCTCTGCTGACACCTTTTCTGATGGGACCTTGGTCCCGGTGACTTCTGCTGCTCCAGACGGAATGCCTCTGAGTCTGTCATGACAACACTCCCTCCGGCACACACACACCCTGGCTCAGCTCGTCCGGCCACTGCGGCAGTGACCCGGCACAGTGGGTGAGGCAGCCCTGGGTCTGGAGTGCTAGAAGCACTTGATGGATGCCCTGGGCAGTGTTGGCAAAGGTATGAACATAGGCGGAAATCCACTGGGCTGGCCTGGCAGCCCTGACATGCTGTTCGGACACAGTGCCCCGTAGGCTGGGACCACGGGGAGAGCCTGCTTAGATTACAGGTCTAGCCCGAAGGCCTGGCACTGTGGCAGCACCTGGGACCCCAGCGACTCAGGGAGGCAGAGGCAGGGGGACCATGAGCTCTAGGCTGGCCTGGGTGAGACCCAGCAAGACTCTAAAAAGAGAGCTGGCCCAGGGAGCATGTGACTATGGCCCCAGCTGCTAGGGAGGCTGAGGCAGGAGGATCATGATACGGCATGATGCTGTCTGTAAAATATAAATAAATGGGGACCAGCAGGTGGTGTAATGGCCGCGTGGCTGGACTCCCATGTAGGCGACCACTGTTCAAGTCCCAGACCTGGTGGCTTACAACTCACTCGGGCATGTGTGCAGGTGTGCCTAAAATCCCGAGAGGAGACTGGAGGAAAAGGGGTTGGTGCATGGCTCTCCCCGCTGGGGCTGGGGGGGTGACTTCTCACTTTCTTTCTCTCCACCTCTCTGTCTCTCTGGTGAATGCACACATCCTATAGCAAAAATCTCTTTAAATAAATAAATAAATAAAATTTACTGGGCTCAGGCCAGCCTGGCATGGCATGGTGATGGAGTCAGAGGCACGCTAAAGGGCTGACAGGACCGACTGAGACTCAGACCCTGCGGTTTGAAAACTAAGTCGGGAGCGTGTGTGTGCATACCCAAAATGCTGAGAAAGGAATGGAGGAAAAGGGGTTCTGGCATGGCCATCCCACCCAGGGTTGCTTTCTCAGTTTCTCTCCTTCCCTCTGTCTCTGTCCAGAGGGTGCACATGCCCTATAGCCAATTTAAAATAGGGGGTGGGGCCAGCAGATGGCATAGCAGTTATGTTGCCAGACTTCTACACGGCCAACTGTAGTTTGAATCCTAGACCTGGTGGCTTGAAAATTAAGCTGGATGCATGCATGTGCATGAGTGTCCAATATCCTGAAAGGAGAATGGAGGAAAAGGGATTACGGCATGGTCACCCCTTCTCCCTGGGGAGGCGAGCAATTTCTCACTTTCTGTCTCACTGTCTTTGTCTCTGTCTCTCTCTAGTGAGCACATGCATCCTAAGTCAAAAACCTCTAAAACATAAGAGGGGAGGAGAAGCTGTGAAGGATCCACTGGGCTATACACTTAAGATTTTCATATTTTATCATAGAATGCAAATGATATGTTAATAAAATAATAAACAGCGAAAACAAAAAGCATGCAAAAATAAAGTGCGGGGTGTGGGGTGTGGTAGTGAAGGTGGCTGAACCCCACATGGTCAACTGTGCAGCTGGCAGTCCGCCATGATTACAGCCCTTGACAGTCAAAGGCGTGTTGAGCACGCTGCAGTACAAGGTCCTCGGGTTGCGATGACCAGGCCAGGGAACAAGGACAGCAACGGGCGACATTCTGAATGGCGGTGCTTTGAGAGCCTGGGGAAGGAAGCGTGTGATTCTGTCTGAGAGCTTCATGGAAGAGGAGACTTCTGAGCTGGGTCTGTGAAGGTTTTGCTCATCCTGTCTCTGTCTTTATCTCCTGGCGTCACGCATAGTCCACCTCCTCTAGGAACCTTTGGCAGATCCATTCTATTCCGGCCCTGGTTCCAGCAAGGCCCCGATGCAGTCTTTCCCCTGCATGGTCCTCACAAGGTCAGCTAATGTTACAATTCCACGGGGCGTTCTTTCTGCCGCCCTGCCCTCCCCCAGCCGGTTAAACTGAGCGTTAAGGGCTGGGTCTGCCTCTGTCCCCTGTGTCCCCAGCTCTCTCCAGTCCTACCCATGTGCCTCATATCAGAATGCCTTGCAGATAACAAGTGCTGGATAAATAGCTGGCGGACTGCATGCTTTGCACCATGGTTTTACAATTACTTTTGCTTTTTAATACGTATCTTAATCTCCCAGTTGCAACAAGTTCCCCAAGGACAGAGGCTGTCCTGTCTCCCCCCCCCGGGCTGTGTAGTAAACTGTCTGTTCTTGGTTGGGCACCTTGAGTTGGAAAGACAAAACTTCCATGGTCCCTTCCTTACTCTCTGATTTCTTAAAAATCATAAAGGGATGGGGCTGGCAGAGGTTGCATGGTGACTCTCACATGGCCGACTGTCATTCGAGTCCCAGACCTGGTGGCTTGCTTTCTCACATTCTCTGTCTCTCTCTCTCTGTTCAAATTTAAATAAATAAGTTAACGAAAATAATTCTTTAAAAAAAATCAAAAGGAAGGACCGGCAGGTGGTGTGGTGGTTAAGGACACTGAACTCCCACATGGCTGACTGCGGTTTGAGTCCCAGCCCTGTTGGCTTGCTTTCTCTGTTCCTCTTTGGTCAAATTAAAATAAATAAAATAAAGTTAATAAAATAATTCCTTTTTAAAAACTCAAAAGGGAATTACTCCCTCACAAGCTCTGGGAAGCAGTTTGAGACCAGTGAAGGCTGCTTAGGCTCTTAGGAACTGAAACCTATTCACTGCTTCAAGGATCACCTCCTCCAGAGATTTCTCTGACCTTCCCAGGTTCCCTCCTTGGGGCTCCCAGCCTGTCCAATCTGTCATTTCCTGTCACTCTTCCAAGGAAAGGACCAGGGAGTCATGCATCACATGGGCCTGGATTTCTGACTCCTGTCTGAGATGTGCTTGCACGACACTGAGCTCACACATGTAAACCTGGAAGTGGGTAAGCACAGAGTTCAGTGGCACCTCTTGAGTCACTTACACGTAATCTATATCCTGGAAATACACAGAAGGAGAAGGTAAACAAGATAATGTAACACTGAGTGAAACAGGAGCCAGACACCCTCTCTACTAT